CCCCCTACACACACAGTTGTTCTTGGAAAGAGAAAAGGAATATTAGGAGGGGTGCTTCCCACTGTGACTTGTACATGGAAAAAGAAATTGGGATGCAAATCTTTTTTTTAAAACCTACCTTGATGGAAACAGGCAGGATCCACTGTTTGGGTAAGGAAGGAGGGGGCGACTTTTCTTTTACGCCCCGAGAAAAGGAGATCAGATCCAGAAAGGGCCCCTTCCTGATTGACGGGGGTGCTAGGAAACACCCAGCAGCCAGACTGGCAAGATTCTGTGACTAAAGCTGATGGGAATAAAAAGGAATTTGACCCACCTTCCTGTCGAGGTGATTTCCCGAGTGGTTTCCTGAACCCTGCTACCTCCAGAGCTGCTCCTCCCACACAGGGCCTCTTCTTCCAGGAAGCAGCACCGGTGAAGATGGGAACAGAGCCCCGTGGAGGGAAAGCAGCCCCCCCCAGTGAGTCCCTCTCCCCTTCTCCCCCCCACCCCCGAGTAGAGAGCTAGCTGGGGCTCCTTTTTGGCCTCCCAAACAACCGAGCTGCTTCGGGGAACCGTTTTCGAGTCCCAGCCGACACAAACCACCATCCAGCTTTGCAAATCTGGGTGCATCTCCTGCTTCCCAGAGAGAGTTTGTTTATTTAAGCCAACATTAAAACAATGGACAACAGTCACTTTTCATTTACAGAAAGAAAAAGGCAAAGACAATTTTTCTTAGTGTTGGAGAATTCACGGCTCCGTAAAAAAATAAAATGTTCCAGGGAAGATTATTCTCATCTCTTGCCCTCCCCAGCCCAGAGGAGCAGGGCAGCTCAAGGCCCCCACCCCGAGGAGGGAAAGGAGAAACACACACTTAATGCCACCAGGAAAGGAGGAAATACTTGCTTGCCACCCCAAGCTTGGCTTTGACGGGAAAACTGAATTCTCAGGGGAGGAGGGGAGATGGCCTTGGCTCTCATTTACACACACACACACACACACACACACGCTCTCTCTCTCTCCAAGGACGTCCCGATGCTTGTTACTTGGAGTAATTGAAGGGGGGGGGGGCTCAAGCACCAGAGTTAGGCTGAAGGCCCTTCTATGCGCAGGAGGGTCTTCTCCTGAAGCCGAGACGTTTGGAGGAAGGGGCTCCTCCAGACCCAGCCATACATTCCCCTCACCCCCCACATGAGAAGCTTTGGGGAGGAGGGGAGGGGGGCACATGCATGAAGGCAGAGGGGCAGCAGGGCCACTGTTCGCAAAGGTCACTTTGTGGTCTGTAAATTCAAGGCAGGTTCCAGAGCTGCCAGAAAAAGGGCCGTCTCCGTCTTCCTGGCAGCGTCTTCCCAACTTCCCAGTGGCCTCTTCCACACATGCACGAAACAAGGAGGAACGGACAGCAACCGGCATGAGGAGGAGCCCTCAGAACAGCGGAATCTACGCATGCAGCACCCGGCGTGTTCCTGGCCCTCTTGGGAGTGCCCAATGCCCCAAAGGCTGGGCTTCCACCGTGGCAAGCATTGCACGCTCAGGTTCCTCTCACCAGGCAGGAGGGGGAGGAGGAGGAGGAGGAGGAGGAGAAGTGCAGGCTGGAAGGAGAAGCATTTGGGGGAGGCAGGGCATCCATTCCCAGAGAGCCCTTGGCCAAGGACCAGGCACGCCCACACAGCTGCTTTAGACAGGAGCGATGGTGGCTGGATGAGGTCCACGCTGGGCACAGCTGACCTGCAGGGGTGGACAGGGCAGTCTCCCCCCTGGCCCTTGAAGAGGATGGCCAGGGGGCCGGAAGGCCAGGGCTCCAGGCAGAAACCCCACAAACCATAGGAGAACAAGGCAGGAGCAACTGTCTGCGAGGGGGCGGGAGAATTAATTCCGCAAGGCAGCCAACCTGAAAATGTGAGAGGAAGAAGATTAATGCAGGAAAAATCGCATCTCAACAGAGCCTCCTCAGGTCTCGGCCCTCCCGGCTTCCTCGGAGACAGATTCCAGCTATGACATTTTGAAATGCCGAATTGTTTGCAAAGAAAGAGCATCCCGTGGCCTTGAGGACGCTCAGAGCGTGTGAGATCTCCTTCCCTTTCAACTCCAGCCTTTTCTTCTCATGAAGGCCTCCAATGCTTCTGATCTGCCTCCCTCTGGTGAACACACAATGTAATTTCAGCTAATTAATTCAGATTCAGGCTGTGGACGTGCTCAGCCGGCGTTTCTTTCCTCCCTCATTTCCTGGCCACAATGGCCTGGTTCACATCTAACGCCATCCACAATGGCCCAGTTCCCAAGGCTCTTTTTCTAGAAGCCCAACACCACCACCAGGCGCACAACTGGCCCGGCGGCATCTCTGGCGTCAGTGAGCGAGGCAGACCTGCCAGGATGAACCGTGGCAGGAAACAGGGAAGCCAAGAACGCAGCCCGGGTGGCTGCAGACCTCGGGGGGGGGGGGGGGACAGGAGCCCCCAACAGCCCAGCTTCCCTTCTTCAGTGCGATTCTTTCGCACATTCAATCGCCTCCCTTCCGGAAAGCTCCACCTGCCCGGCTCTGATGGGCTGAACAGAGCTTCCGGCCAGAGGTCCCGTCCTGTGGGCAGACGGAGGGAAGCAGACCAACCTCCGTGACAGCTGATCCTCCTGCGAACGCGTCGAGCTCTCCCCCATGGCCGAGGCCCCTTCGGGCAACTGGTTCAGCTGGTCCATCACCTCCAGGCCGTTCTCCTCGGCAATCTGCACTATCAGGCTATCCACTTGCTCCTGGGGCGTCGTCAAGGTGGTGGCTGAGCTCATGGAGTCCTCCATCACCTGCGGGGACCCCAGGCAGAAGCCTTGTGACAAATGCAAGCACCAGCAGCCAAGGTGGGAGCAACGGACAGACACCCTGGACAAACCGCCATCCCCTCAATCCATTCACCCGCTTCTTGCTAGGGACACACATCCTCTCACTAAGCTAAGCCACCGTCTCCCTTCAACTTCTCTCCAAGCAAGAAATCAGCACCCCCATCTCCAGCTACTTTGTTCAAGCAATTTGGGAAAAGAAGGGTGCCTCTTCTTGCTCAAGAGCGAAGCCCCCGGCACAAGGCGGAAGACGGAGCTGCATGACCCAGTGCGACAGAGGCTGCCGGTGACAAAGCAGAGCATGAGTCAGCAGAATTAGCGCTGGACTCCTCTTAGCCCCGTTTCAAAGCCTGCTTGGTCACAGTCTGCGCCACCTGTTTGATTTGGAGTCGTTTCCCACAGACACCCAGACACTTTCACAAGCATGCAGAGAAGGCAGCAAAGGCGAGGGAAGAACGGGAGAAGTTTGGCCGGGAGGAGACTGTGAAAAGGTGCTTTCCCAACTGCCCAGCTCTGACGCTCAGCATCCCCTGCAGCACTTACTGAAGTGTGGACATCCAGATTCTGGACCTGCTGTTCAAACTTGTCCATCACAGCCGAAACCTTCTGAAGATCCATGGAGCCGAGAGCTTTGTCCAAGGCCTTGGTCACCTGGGCCATATTCTTGGTTACCTGCAACAGTCAGGAATCGTATTCGCTTGGGGGAACCACACCAAGCCAGGGCCAGTCCTGAAGAGGGGGGGGTGCCTCCTGTGACCCTTGGAAACAGCAGCCCAGATCAAGAACAGCGGGAAAGAGCGCAATGGCCAGCCTGTGAGGGTTTCCCAAGGAGCCCTGGCTGCATGGCTTCCTCCTCTTCTAGTCACGGAAGCCCTGAGACAGGAGGACCACCAAGTTCAGGCTGAATCTGGGATGCTGGAATCCCGTGAGCTGCTGGTGGATAACGACTGAGTGGCCAAGGGGGAATGGGGCAAGGGGAAGCCGAGCGACCTAGCAGGAAACCCAGAGGGTAATTTTTACGTATCAACATAGAATCAATCCCCCAAGAGGTTTAGTTGGCTGGGAATGGTGGAAGATGCCTCCACCCCAAGAAGGGGTCAGTTTAGTGTAGAGGATCTTTTGCAGCCTCCGACAAAGAAAACCTCTCCCTGTTGCCAGGGAGCAAGGAAGGTCAGGAAGTATTAAAATAAAGCTCCTTACTCCTTTCATGGTCACAGCTGTCTGGACCTTGGAGGCCACGGCATCTACGCGGGAAGCCATGCGCAGCCAGTTCAAGCCTTCGTTCTTCTTCCGGATGGCGTTCTCTGCGTAGACCCGAGCACATTCCACATTCTTCTGCTGAAGGGCCTGGAATTCAAGACAAGGAGCAACCTTCAGCTTCACAGTTTCTCCCAACAAAATCAAGAGTGGAAGAGGCCTAGTGACGCAGACTTGAAGGGGAGACATTCTAGAAGTTCATCTGCTTCAGAAGTGAGGAAGAAAAACGGGGGGACGGGAGGGAGAGAGGAAGGCTCCTCAAAGACATGGGCGATGCAGGGCAGAACCAGGAGAGCAAAGATGCTCAAGCTAAGGAGGGAGAGGAAGGGCCCCCAGGCAGCCTTTAATGCCACAGGTGCAAAAGATTAGAAACTTCACGGGGCAGCCCAAAGGCTTGAAGGCAGCGGAGATGGGAGCCCAGCCTTCCCGACTCATTCCTCAAGAGTTATCCCCGCCCATTACGCCTAGCCTTCGCATTCAGGCTCATCACCTTCTTGACTTTGGCTTGTTCTGTTTTGGAGTCCTTTTCTGCCTTCTTGGCAAGCTTCTCCAGCTGCTTGGCTGTAAACTAGAAAGAGGCAGATGTTCAGAGGCCCGTGGGCAGGAGCAGGCACGAGCAGCAACCCCACCCCCATCCCAGTCACTCAGAAGGACAATCATGTACTGAAGACATGATGGATAGAGAGGAGGCCATTTACTGATTCAGCTAAACCTGCTACAGCTCTAAGTGGCATCGGAGAAGCAGCCATTGCTAGATTCCTTGACAAGAATTGTTCATCTACAAAAACTGACATTCTCTGTCCAAGAGTGCAGCTGCGCGAGTGATATCGGGTGTACCTAGGTACACCCATGTTACACCTATCCTCTGCGAGCTGCACTGGCTCCCCATCAGTCTCCGAACGTGCTTCAAGGTGCTGGTCGTTACCTTTAAAGTCCTGCATGGCTTGGGACCTGGATATCTGCGGGACCGCCTGCTGCCACATACCTCCCAACGACCCGTAAGATCTCAAAGGGTGGGCCTCCTTCGGGTACCATCGACCGGACAATGCCGGTTGGCGACTAC